CCAGCCGCCGGCGCGGCCTGCCACTACCAGGGTGGGGGTGACGTGCTGTGGCAGGGGGTGACCCCTGCCTGCCTTTGCCTTTGAAGTCCTGCTGTGGCCGAGATAGATTCTCGGGTTAGTGAGGAGGGCTGGCTCTTCTGCCAAGAATTCAGTGCATGGTGGCTGGGATGCTGTCCTGCCTCTGCGTGCAGGAGCCACCCCCGCGCAGCCCCCCTGTTGTGGACAGGCAGGACTGGGAGGGGGAGCCAAAAGAGGGTGGGGGCTGAGTGGGGCTGGGATGGGCTGGGGGAGCCCATGTCACCCTTGTTCCTTACACAGAGCAACTGAAGTTTCTGAACGGGATGGCAAGTGAAAAGTGTCTCTGTTTCTTGCTCAGCCCATGCTGTCCCATTCCAGCTCAGCCAGCCTCGCACATGTTTGTTTAACACGAGCCCATGTCTGCCCTTCCCTGCTGTCCATCAGCCCTCCCTGGCCTGACCCAGCCAGCTCCCCTCAGCCAGGCCAGGCGAAAAGTTACTTCTGGGAAAAAGAACACAGTTGCTGTGTGCTGGCCATGGGCTCAGGGAAGGACACAAGGACAAACTCCTTCCCAGCAACAGTTGTCCTCCCTCTTGCTTTGTCCAGGGCCATGGTGGTGCCTGCTCCCCAGAACCACAGTTCACAGGCTGCCCGTGTCTCTGCTAGTTGCAGTCTACCACTGAGAGTGGACTTCTGACTTTGTTTCAATGCCTGGATCTCCATGATCACCTTTGTATCAGGGCCTGGCAGGCAAGACAGTGCAGATCTAGCATCACAATGCCCCCGTGCCCTGGCTTGCCTTGCAGCCTGGCAGCCAGCCACTTTGAGGCCAACTGAGTGTCTCTTGGAGCAGGTCTGCTTGAGAGTATCCTAATGAGAAGCAGCACTGAGAACTCGGGGCTCTCAAGGTCACCTCCAGCCTGTTCCCAGGTGCAAACCACAGCCTTTTGACTTTAAGGACTGGGGCTTCTCATGCTGGAGCCTGCTCAGTAGCTGGGCTTCCAGCCCCAGAGATGGGTCTGGCAGCAGGCAGGCAGATAGCTTGCTGTCTGTGGGTAATGTCTGATGCTAACTCCTAACTGGTGTAAGGGAGGGTCTTTGCAAAAGTGACCTGGCTCTGTCTTGCTTGGAGTACCAGGGCTGTGGGAGCAGAGGACAGGACATAGGCATCACCCACATGATTCCCTTTGCCCACTTGCTGCGTTTCTGGGATAAATAACTTGACAAGGTTGTGCTCAGGGGAAGCCTGCATTAGCGCAAGCATGAGGCTGGGTCTGATAGTGCTGCTTCCCCTGTAGAAGGATCTCCTGCCAGGGGCATGACTGCTGGGCAGCCCCAGGCACGCCACCGGCTCAGGGCCCAGCACTCTTTTGAGTGGTCACAGAAGTCTCAAACAACATGGACCACCCATGACTTGTGGGACAGCCTGGAGGGCTTCACATGATGGCTGGGGGCTCCCAGCAGCCTCAGGCCCACAGGACAAAAAAACCTAGGAGGGGAAGAAGGGCAGTGTGAGGTTTGTGCTTAGCCACAGCCTTACTTTGTTCCCTAAACCCTGCCTTTTGCTCCCCATCCTCCATACCCTCCCCCCACTTGAGTTCTGACCTGGTCCTGATCTTGCTGGCTACACCGGCCAGAGACAAATTACAGCTGCAGCAGCACTTTAGATGAGGAACGGTTAATTCAGGCACTGAGAGCAAGTGGGAATGCAGAAAACGCTGGGTGCAGATGCGTGGTCTGCCCTCCTTCCAGGGGGTAGGTGACTCTCGTCCATCCTGTTGCTCTCTGACCGTCTGTTCTTCCTGGAAACAGCCTTCCTGGAAAACAGGTCCATGTGCAAAAGCCACATGCTGTTTCTCTCCTGACCTTGCAAAGACGTTCAGGGGCAGCAAGAGCCCAGGGGCACCTGGCTGCCTGCTGGCTTCAGAGGGGCTTGAGACCAGGGGGAAGCAGTAGGGTGGGCTGCCCCAGCGGGAACAGGTGCTGTAGACTCTCTCCCAAAGAGTTGAGCAAGCAGAAGGGACAGGGAAAGGCCACTTTCTCATGCCTTTCTGGTCCCCAGGGCTTCCTCAGCCCCAGGAGGGTGACACAGTGGCCTGGGAAGCAGCAGCAGCTCATTCCAGTTGCAGCTGTGATGAACATGATGTTGCAAGAGTAGCTGATGCTGAAGAGGCCAGGACAGACCCAAGCAGGGATGGACACAACTTGGCTCCCCGAAGGCCCTGTGCCATGCAGGGGAGTGCCTGGTGCTGGGGAGAGGCCAGGGCACAGCAGCTGGGGCTGCTGCAGAGATGTGGCCTTCCCTCAGGTCCCCAGGACGTGGTGGTGCATTGTGGCGATGGCTCCTCTTTGCTTGCCCCATTGCAGACCCCAGTTGCTGTTGCACCATTTGGTCCAGGTGGTGGGACTCCTCTCTGGCTGGCTTGGCTCATCAGCACTGTGCAGCACCCGGGGTAGTGCAGGGGAGCTACACGTCGGGATTTGAGCACCAGCTGCGAGGCGTGCAGGCCTGCCGAGAGGCAGCAGCCATTTCACTGCTCCCAGTAGGGTCAAGATGCTGTCCTCCTCCCTCCCTCACCCACCAGCGCATCTCACTGCAGCTGCATGCCCAAGAGCTTCCCCCGCACAAGGCTTTGTGCATCTCCTTTCTCCCCACCCAGCCTCATGGGGCCTGGAGAGCAGCAGGGGCTGGGGTCCCTCCTGGAGCAGGGACCTTGTGCCTGGAGCCGGCTCTGCAGTCACTGCTGGGGGGTGCAGTGTGGTGCTGGGAGCTGGACACAACCGAGTTCAGCCACCCTGCATGGCCATATTGACTCCAGCTCACTCTCTTTTGCAGATGTTCATGAGGGCACAGTTTGACTATGACCCAAAAAAAGACAACCTGATCCCCTGCAAGGAAGCGGGGCTGAAGTTTCAGACTGGTGACGTGATTCAAATCATAAACAAGGATGACAGCAACTGGTGGCAGGGCCGGGTGGAGGGCTCCTGCACCGAGTCGGCAGGACTCATCCCTTCTCCAGAGCTGCAGGAGTGGTAGGTCCCTGGATTTGTCCAGAAAGGCTGGATCTGGGAGTAGAGGGGTGAAGAGTGACCATGTGCTACCAGGAGTGTGACCGCTTTGGGTAACACCAGCATCACTGGCTGGGAAAACAAGGCAAACGTTGCCTTCATCTGCCTCAGGGTGAGCCTTTACCTGTCCCAGCAGCCACTCTGCTTCTCTTGCCCTTGCATGTCTGAGGGACAATCCCGCTGCTCCCCCAGGGCTTGGGGTGACAGCTGGATCATGGTGGTGTCCTCCTTTCTTGGCAGGCGTGTGGCGAGCGTCACCCAGTCCAGTCAGAGCGAATCCCCGAGCTGTAGCCCCTTTGGGAAGAAGAAGAAGTGCAAAGATAAATACCTGGCAAAGCACAGCTCAAGTAAGTGTGAGCAGGGTGATGGGGTCCGTCCCCAGCCCTGGCCACTTCTGCCTCTGGGCAGGGGCAGGTCTCTGCAGGAGTCAGACCAAACGGCCCAGCTGTATTGGCAGTGGGACCTTGGGGGGATGCCCCACACTGTTTTTTGAGTCACTTCTCCAAAGTTCTCACGTCCCTCAGGTGGCCACAGCTGCGTCCCCATGCAGCTCTGTAGTGCACGAGGCCAGGGCTGGCTCACGCAGGAGCCGGGCACCGAGCTCCCGTGCTCTCCTGCAGCGACAATCCCTGGCACGCCTGGCCCTGAGCTGGTTGGGAGGTCAGGCTCCTGGGCCCTCCAACCCCACAGGCTGCTGAACACAGGGCATGCAGTGGACTTAATTGCTGCTCAGCAATTAGGGAGCAGCCTGAACTGCTCCCCACAGCTGCCAAGCGCTGTCCCTGGTGGGGCAGGGAGCCTCATGCTAAGCATGCCCTGGGCCGGCAAAGGCAGGTGCATGAGGACATGCTGGCTCCTAGCCCAGCCTGCAGCTCCAACCAGCAACAAACAAGGCCATAAATCAGCAAAATAAATAAAGCTCCTGCAGCAACAAGCTGCAGCATCCTGCCGTCTCCCCACCCAGCTCCCAGGTCCTACTGTCCTGAGCAGAATTACTGAGCAAGAGAAGCCCTGGCTTCTCCTTTGGCGGCTGCTGGTCCAGCTCCCCAGCACCCTCTCCGAAGGCTGCTGCCCTCTTCCCTGAGCAGCCAAACAGGGACGAGCTCCCAGCCCCGTCCTCATGGCTCCTTCCATTTTGCCCAAGGATGTGGCTTTGGTCTGACACAATATGGTCCTGCTGCTGCGGCCAAGCCAGCTCTGACCACTCACTGTCTCGTTTTTCCTCCACCCCAGTTTTTGACCAGCTGGATGTGGTTTCGTATGAGGAGGTGGTGAGGCTGCCTGCTTTCAAGAGGAAGACCCTGGTGCTCATCGGTAAGTCCTGCCCCAGGCATCCTCTGCAGCACAGGGGCTGCGTGTGGTGGGTCCCAGGGAGAACCAGGACTGGACAGTGGCTGGGGCACTGCTGTCCTTCAAAACCTAGTAAGCTCTGGGGAGCATTTCTTCTGCCTGCAGCAGTCACCAAGCAGGCTGACCTCCTCCATGCAGCATTGTGCATGGTCTGGCACCTGCGCTGCAATGCTGAGGTAGAGTTAATTCAGGAGTTTCCAGTTCCTAAGTATCTTTATGGGTAATTTCTGTTAAAAGCAGCTCTGGTCTGTGCAGTTGCAGCAAAGCAAGCACTCCCACACTGTGAGGGCCGAGCACTTGGTGGACATGGGCAGTCCACACAGCCCAGCCGTGCTGGCCGCTCAGCAGGCACCGGTCCCATCTCCAGATGGAGCTGGAGGTGAGTGTGCCCAGAGCAGGGAGAGCCTTTTCCAGAGCTGGAACACACCACAGACCAGCTCAGAAAGCAGATTGTGGGCAAGGTCGCAGGAGCTCTGCACCTTTCCTCAGACCCAGAGCTGCAGAGAGTCCCCAGCATCTCCTCCCAGGCTTCTCTGAGCCCAGCTCCAGCATCTGTCCATCCCTCCTCCTCTGCAGGGGCCAGCGGCGTGGGCCGTAGCCACATCAAGAATGCTCTGCTCAGCAACAACCCAGAGAAGTTCATGTACCCACCTCCATGTAAGTACCCAGCCAGGGTGGAGGGCGCAGAATAGGGCATGTTTCCTTGAGCCAGGACCTTCAGACAGCAGATGGGAGGTGGGGAGATGTTCCTTCAGCACCACTCAGCCCCCAGTGTCAGAGGCCACCGTGGAGGGCACTGCAGGGTCCCCCTGCTTGCTGTCCCATAGGCTGAACCTGCCCACAGATGGCTGCAGGGCTGCTACCACCCACACTGCAGAGACGCCTCACTCTTCACATCCCAGTGGCTCTCCTCTGGCTGGCTGAGTTCCCTACTTGTCCCAACCAGGAATGAGTTGAAAGGGGATTAGTACAGCCTAGTCTTGAGGTACACAGGTCCTGCACGCCCTAGCCCCATGTTGAAAAAAGGAAGGCAAGATGCTCGGGTCACCCAGAGCAGAGGCTGCCTGCTCCACTCTGTTCCCCAGTCCTGGGGACCAGCACTCACCATATCCCTCCCTCCCCAGACACCACACGCCCCCAGAAGAAGAATGAGGTGGACGGGAAGGACTACTACTTTGTGTCCACCGAGGAGATGACCCGGGATATCTCAGCCAACGAGTTCCTGGAGTTTGGAAGCTACCAGGGAAACATGTTTGGCACCAAGTTTGAAACAGTGCACAAGATTCACCAACAGGACAAAGTTGCTATTTTGGACATTGAGCCCCAGGTAGGGAGCTGGGGAAAGGGTGGGCAGGATGGGGGCTGCCACAGATGGAGGTACCTGTGTGCTGGCTGTGACTGGCCCTGCCTTCCCCAGTGCATGGCCCACCCTCCCATCCCAAAGGAAAAAGCCAGGGAGTGCTGGGGTGGCATTTCCATTCCCAAGACATGAGTGCAGTGAGGGTATTCCCCATCACAGGACACACCTGGCTATGACAGCAAGGCCAGGGCAAGGCTGCTGTGGGAGTCGGGGTGCAGGGCAGCATGGGCCTCACACAAGGACCCTTTCCCATCTCCGACACGAAGTGTGTGGATGCTGCTTTGCAAAGCGGCATTTGTGTCCAGTACCAGCCCAGAAGCAGGGATGGGGCTGCTGTTATGTCCTCTCCCATGAGGTACAACGGAAACCATGCTGGGACCCCTGCTCCAGCTTCACCCAACTGCCCCCACATCACCAAACTACCCCCCGGCTCAGGACACCACCCAGAGAGCCCATGGCCTCAGACTAGGGCTGGCCCCTTTACCCACCGCTGCATCACAGGCACCATGACACCCTGGCAGGGGTGCAGCATGGGGTAGTGGGGGACAGGAATGGCCACACTCTGGTAACTACACCTCTCTCTCCACAGACCCTGAAGATCGTCCGCACAGCTGAGCTCTCCCCGTTCATAGTCTTCATTGCCCCAACAGACAAGGCAGAGCAGGTGGGTGGCAGGGCACCGAGGCCGAGTCCCCCTCTGGCCAGGCTTGCTGGCCTGCGGCATGGGGACAAGGAGCCCACTGCAGCAGACCAGGGCTCTCTTCCTGCTCCACAGCAGCTTTTCCTGTCTGCACTGATTTTTGTGGTCCAGGAGGGCAGGGCAGCTTCCTCAGACCAGACCTAAGAAACAGGAATTGGTGATTCCTGCAGCCGTAGACTCTCTCCCAGATTGACACCCCCACAGCAACCATCATTCCTGAAGCATAATCAGCCACTAACATACAGCGCAGGACACAGCCCAGCACCCAGGCCCATCTCCAGCTGCAGCAGAGCTGCGGCAGGAACATTTATCCTGCCATCAGCTATGCAAATGGGACACAAACAGCAGCTCCTTTCATTCTTTGCCTCATTAGGTTGCTCATCCCTCCAAAATCAGGATAAAAGCAGCACTTACGCCACAGTTAACTCATGCAGTGCCAAGCACCACAAGGCTGGCAGCCACACACTGCCATTTCCCAGGAAGCCCCGAATGCAGGGCGCAGTGCTGCCTACCCTGCCCTGCCGCAGCTGGGACCAGCTCCCCTGAGGGCTAACCTCTGCAGGGAGACGGAAAGCGATGGGAGAACAGGGGAACCCACAGAGCTGTGCTCCCGGACTCATGGCCAGCCAAGGCCACCTCTCCCAACCTATTAATTTGGGGTTCATAACACTTAAGATACAAATAGTTTGCAGGGAGGATCTTATGCAGCCTTCGGAGCAAGCACTGCATAGGCATTTAGACACAAACAGCAGCATTAGAGTAACGTAACACTAGAGTCATGTTAACTTGCAGAGGATTGTAAAGCCATATGCAGACAGCGGAGGGGGGAAAGGGGAGGCAAGTGTCGGGGCAGAAAGGGCAGTGGGCAGCCTGCTGCCCCCACCTCCATGCCCCATCACCCACTGCTGCTTCCAGACAGGAATTAACTCCTGCCGCAGTGGGCAGGGCCAGCCCCGCTGGTGCAGGCACTATATATAGCTAGCTGCCACAGCTCAGGTAACCGCTTACCAGAAAGGATGCGACAGAGCCAAAATGTGACCCGGCAGAGCTCACATCACCCAGGCAAACTGCATAGTGCTCTCCCCTCTCCACCTCCAAGAGCTGCCAGGCAACACACAGCAGAGCACAGCACCCCAAGCTCATCCCCACCCCCAGGCACAGAAGCAGGGAGCAGTCTGCATTTCAAGCTCCGTTAGGGAGCATGTAGAAATCGGTCTGGACTTCACTGTTGAGGGCACAGCTGCCTGCAGGGACAGACTCCTGGGATGCCTGGGCTAGCTGGGGAGCTGTGCAGACTAACCACACCAGCAGGAGGGGGCAGGCAGCTTCGCTTTTACTGTGAAGAAATGTAACTATCCCACCCAAAACCAGTAGAGTGAAGCTGGTACAACTCTGCCAGCCAGTGCTGCCTTGGTCAAAAGCCACTGGGAAGGGACCATCTTGCAGGGATCCTACCTTGAAACCAGCCTTCAGCCTTGAGCTGGCTATATTGTATAGCGTAGCAACAAGCAGCCTGCTGCTCGGTGAACCTTCTCCCAGGATGCTGACACAAAACATTTTAAAGATCAATACAAGACCAAGCAGGTCTGGCCTCACTCAAGCAGGAAACGGATGCTCCAGTATTGCACAGAAGTCCAGCAAAAACACACATGCTCCCAGAGATGACACAACAGTTCCTAGCTTGTCAGACAAGCTGCAGGGATGCTCTGTGCTGTAAGTTTAGCCGTCACTTGAGTTGTTTTGGTGGTGGGAGGGAGTTTGCCTGTTGGGGAGACTGTGCAATTTCCCTCCTCCCCAGCCTCCTGAGCACTCTTCCATTTCTTGCAGTCAGAGGCTTTGCAGCAGCTGCAGAAGGATTCAGAGAGCATCCGGAGCCGATACGCACACTACTTTGACCTCTCACTGGTCAACAACGGGGTGGAAGAAAGCCTCCAGCTGCTGCAGGAAGCCTTTGAGCAGGCCTGCAGCTCTCCACAGTGGGTGCCCGTGTCCTGGGTCTACTGACAGGGCATCCATCCCAGCCGCTTCCCATCAACCATCCTACAGCCATGGGGAGAAACCTCCTCAGCTTCCCTTGATCCACACACAGCCCAGTGCAACTCCCTTCCTCTGCTGCTCCACGGACATGGTCTCGGTTGACATGCACACAGGGTGTCTGGCTCGCCTCTCCCAAGGGAATGCAGGACAGGGGCTGCCCAGGGGATGGCTGCCTGCCATGGCACTGCAAGGCAGTGCTAAGTTAACAGCTACAGCAGAGCCCAGGGCACCCCACTAGCTCAGAGCACAGCTCCCCACCTCACCCTGCTGTGGCACCCGGCCAGTCTTCTCTGCATCGGTCCCAAGGGAAATGGTAGAGCCGGGTCTTCCCAAGCAGATGTTCCCTGCCATTGCAGGAGTGCACACTGCACCACAAACACCTTGAAAGCCTGGCTGGTGTCTGCAAGGCTTCAAGGAAGCCCACAACTCAGGAGGCTTTACACAGACCCCGTCAGAGATCCTACATCCAAGGGTTTCCCTCACAAATGGGGAAGAGCAGAAAAAGGTGAGCATGGATTTGACAAAGGTGAAGCACACCACCACCACAACACAGCTATTGCCCTGTGTTCCAAGGTGGGAGTTTTACAATTCACCCTGTGCAACTGTAGTTGTGAAAACTCACTGTATTTAAATTCTCACCATGCAGCCTTGGGTTGTTACCACCTGGCTGGCAAAACTTGGCAGCAGCTGAGGAAGTCCTACAGACCAAACCTCACAGGGACAGTTCAACAGGTAAATTAGATCCAGCCACAAGTATGTTGCATGCAGTAGAAACAGTGTCTCTATATAAAGATCATCCAGGCATGTTTTCCAGAGTCTAGGGTGTCTCGCACACTGTATGCAAACATAAAAGCCACCCGCACAAAGGGGTTCCTTCTTCTGCAGGTGTGTACTGATGCACAAGCCCCACCATGACCATGTCTGGGAAGCATCACCATGGCTCCTGGACAAACCATAACCATGATTTAGGTGAAAGAATCTCATTTGTGTGTTCAGCAGTCAGCTAGGGGAAGGGGGTTAAGAAGTCTTGTGCAATTTCTTAAGGATGCCAAAAATAAAATCTCTTGATGTGCAATAGGGACCTTGGTTCTGATCCACTGCAGGGAAACAATGAGCAGCAATAAACATGTGCTGAAACGTTGCTGTGTCTGGTGTTTTACCTCTTCAGCTGAGCACTTGCTCATAGCTACAACTCTGTTCCCACCTCCCTGACCCTAACACACTCAAGGTTAGGCAGGCCAGGACCAAACAGTCCCTCCATCCAGACACCATCAGACCCCTCCAGCAGCTCACTCCAGCACAGGCAAAGGACAGAGATCAGCTTTCAGGCATACATCCCAGGGGGTTTTACAGAAGTGGAGGGTGGCCCCATAGCACCTGCAAAGTCCTGACCAGTAACAAAGGTCCCTCCAGTGATGGTCCACATCAGTATGACTTCTCTGCACCAGCAGCTTCTTTAGGAGAACGGCATGAAGGTTGGGCAGAAGGGGCAGCCATTTGCCTGCCCAGCTGCAGCATGCATATCTGTTAAGCTGCATCCCCTCCCCCTGAACAAACCGCTGACCTCTTACAGGAGCCAGATGAGCAAGAAAATCACCCATTCAAAAATAGGGCTTTTATTTTTATGTAAAAAAAGAGTAAATAAAAATGGAGTTTTTCCCGCTCAGGTTCTGACAGCCACCTGCTGCTGGCCCCACTGCCTGTGTGTATCTAGCATTGGAGGGGAGAAAAATCAGATGGTAAAGACAAAAGCAATGCACAAGGCTAAGAAACATTACAGAATCTCTGCAGGGATGAAGCTCAGAACAAAGCAGCTAAAATCCCGGCTCAGCAGTACCCCTGTGACACAGGACAGACCTCCCATCCCCAGTGAGCCACCCAGATAAGGAAATTAGGACAAGTCTTTCTGAAACCGCTCAAGACCCACACCCAGTGCCCTTTGCAGAGCTGCCTCTGGCCAAGCGTCTCCTCACAAGCACTCCAGTCCCAATAGCACAAAGCGTACTGGCCATCCACCTTCTGGTTACTTCACTTCTGCTCCAAAGCAGCATCCCCACTTCCAGCCTTCAGAGCATATTAGATATCAAAACTGGGGAAGGCAACAAAGTGCTGCAGTCCCTTTCCAACAACTGAATAGAGAAGAGCAAAGAGCCAGCAAGAGGTACACACTGTCAAGGTCACTGGGGCACTGGGTCTGGGGATCACCTGACAACTAACAAGCAGGTCCCCACACTGTAAAGCAAAAAATCAGGGATTTAAAGTTGTAATTATTTTATGATAAAGTTAAAAAGTACTGAAGAATATCTGGGTGGACTATTGATCTCATCTAGCTGTGGGTCACGCCAAGCATACAGCCAGATTAAAACAAACCGGAACCCTTCAATAACCAATTTGGCTGTACCCATTCAGATGGGCCATGACAAAGCCAGTCCTCCAGACAACCAACACATTCTGAGACTGTCAGGTAACAGCTCCAACCTTGGAAGAAAAGGAAGAGAGAGGCAGGACAGAAGAGGAGAGAAATGTTATTCCTCTCTCTCAAGGTGAAAACAGAGACACGATGTAAGAGCCAGAAGCTAGAGCTTCCCTGAAGATACCACTTCTATTGGCATCACGGTGTTCAGCTTTAGAGAGCAATCCAGTGCAGTGGCAGTCAGGCACCCCACTCCTCTGGCAACCCTTAAAACAGGATGAGGAGGGGTACCTAAGCAGGGCATATCCTGTGCAAACACACCTGCTCACTCATGTACACAGCAGAAAAGGAACTTGGAACTTGCTGGCTTCTCTGCCACACAGTCAATCCACTTTTTTTTTTTCCCCCAAGGTCTCAAGACTCCTTCCCAACAAGGTCGCCTGCTTTGGACAGATCCAGTCGCTTATTCTGAGCTCTCTTCTACCTCCTTTTGTTTCTTCTTCTTCTTCTTCTTGGTGCTGATCTCACTGGTCTGTGAAGAGGTTAGAGAGGTCAGGAAGGAATCAAAAAGGAATCCCCCACTGCTCATTTCAGGAGGAACAGCCCCACTCCAGACACAGTGCAGGCTCCCCATGGCCACAATCCTCCCTCACCACTGTACAAGCACTGAAGCACACTGACTGAATGTCATCACAATACCAGGCACCATCCTCGCACTGAGGCCCATTACAGGGTACCAGAGCACAGAGGTGGCCTGGCAGGAACATGTACCCACCAACTGCCCCAGGACAGATTGTGGCTCACCCCATCCCTGCCCCACTGCAGACCCACCCCCACAAGCCTCACCTGCACAATCTTCCACCACCCTCAACCAGTTCAGTTTACAAATGCACCTGCATAGACATCTTTCTCTGCCCGTTGGGAGCCTGGCACTCTGGAGACAGGATGATGATGTCTTTATGCTGTCTCTCCCCAACACCTCCAGGAATCTCTCCCATGCTGGGACAGTACCATGGCAGCACCCAGTTACATACCACTTCTATTTGCTCCTCCCCACTCTCAGCTGCCTCTTTGGCTTTCTTCTCTTTCTTCTTCTTTTTCTTTTCCTTTTTGCTCAGCTCCTCTGGTGGCGGAGTGGCAGGGGATGGTGGGGTCACAGCCTCCTCACTTTCACTCTCTGACTCTCGCTTCCTCTGTTAGGGGAACACACTGTCAGACACGCCATCTTCCAAATGAGCTCAAGTGATGGGAAAACTGCTTGCAAGCCCATTGCAACTATTTTGCCTGATTCAATCAAAGTTTGCAGTTAACAATGCTTTGAGCAGGAGGTTGAGCTACAAACTGCCAGTGGTTGCCTCCAAGCATATACTGTCTAGGATTTGCTTCTGCCAGAATTGCACCCCATATTTCTCAGTGTTTCCTGTACCCCAAATGCTCCAGAGTTTGAAACACTGCTACACCTTTCCAAGCGCACGCACAAGCCCTGACTTACATCCTTAGATCACAGCACAAACCCTGACTTAGGGAACTTTAGATGCAACTCTTGCGTGGACATTTCTGCAACTGTCTGTAGTCTCCAGAAAGGTTCTCTGGCACAACAAACATCCACTGTGGCCGTACAACATTTCCTTGGATGCTTCAGCTTGTACACATGTCAGAGCTCCTCATTCTCATACTGTGCCACAGGACTCACACCCAAAGTACAACATCCCAGAGAAAAACACCCAGGGGCAAGGCTTTAAACAGAGGCCTTATGGGCCCTGCAACCACAACACATGTTGGGGCACTAGGCTCCCAGAATACAAAACACCTTCCCCTGTAAAACAGCCAGCCAAAGCAGCACACAATCCAGTGCCTGATATCAACTGCCTAAAGGAACAGGCGTGTATCCACTCTACATCAGGGCCCAAGCAAACTTACAGCCAGAGAGCACTAACAATACTCACTTTTGGAGCCCTCTCCAGCTCTGAAACAGCTCGGGGAATGGCAGCTGCCTCTTTCTTGGAAGCATCCCTGAAAGAGAAGATCCCCAGGCTGAACAGGAAAGCCACTGCCTCATGCTACTCTGTGCAAGTACAAAGCCCTGACCTCCTTGCAAGGGCTCCATAACCTGCACCAGGCACTAGGTGGGGACGCTGGTGTGGGGGAAGACCTGCAGCCTGCACCAGGGCCAGCTGGGCTGGGCAACAGCAAGGCCTCCCCCATTTAATTTAGCAGACTGACTCCCTCTAAAACCACAAGCACAGGCTAGAAAGGGATAACCATCTGCTCGAGGCCTTTTCCTCCAGTGCTGCCCACTAGCAGCACGTTGCCTAGGACTGCAAGAAATGTCACTGCACCCTATGGGTCCAGACGGATGACAGCCTTCAGCCCAGCCTAACATGCTCCAAGCACAACCAGCAGCGCCCAGCCCTTGCTGCACAGGGTTCCCCTCCGCCCGCCATGCAGGAGCCACACAACCTGTACCCACCTATAATCCACATACTCCTTCTTCCAGGAATCTGGTGTGCTCTCATTGGGCTTTCCATGCTTGTCCAGCAGACCCTTCTGGATCATCATCTTCTTTTGACTGGCCTGAGAGCAACACGCAACAAGTCAGACTGCAGCTCCAGGAAGGAGAAATCCTCCCTGGGGCTTCAGCTACTTGGCCTAAGAGGAGGTAATCCAGGAACAAGCCAAGCCAACAACTACAGCATTATTGATTTAACACTTCTCCAAGGACCTTCTAAGAAATCACACGAAACATCCCCTGCACAGCATCCTACAAATCTCAGGCAGGAGGCATCTTCATCAAGGGCTAATTTTTGGGGGAAGTAACAGCAGCAGACTAAGATGACTCTGCACATCATGGAGCTCAGATCTTTTGACTGAGTTTCTCCAGCTTAATGACTTGCTGCATTTCAGCTGAACCACTCCAGCTCCAAATGCAAGGCTTTTCTAAGACTCCAAGATGCTTGAACTGGCTCACGTTACCTCATATTTGCTGCAAGACAGATGTGCATGCATCCCACAGCTTTCTACATTTCACCTGAACGACAGGAATGGAATAAGCCACTTGACACCAAGTTTTCAGTCCGAGCTGCATCACTCACCACAGTGATCACATCACCTCACTCACCAGTCTGGCTGCAGTGAAGCTTGCACTGCTGACATGTTGATTTCCATGACTACCACATGCTTGTGACAGGAGAGGAACCCAACAGTTCCTACTGCTCCTGTCCTTCAGGCACAATTTAGTGTCTCACCAGATAGTTCACATTTTGGCATTGTTGCAGTTGCACCAGAACAAAAAGCAGCTCCTTGCCCATCCCCTCCAGAGCCATCAGTATGGGGTGATAGATGAAGGTCATCTTTGCGCAGAGCGCTAATGCCATCCGCTTCACATCATTTGGCTCTTTAGCAGAGGAGGGATGGTGCTGTACAGACCTGAGCCCATGCCTGAGCACCGGCAGCAGTCCCTGCTGGGCCTCAGGTAGAGCTGCCCAGGCTCCGCTGGGAGGGAAAGCCTTGCTCCCACCAACACGGCTGGCACGGCCCCAGCACTGGGAAGGTGCCACCATCATGGCTCTAGAGCACAGCATAATTACACCATGACCCTAGAGAAGACACAGGCACAGCTCTGCCTGAGGAGCCTGGAGTCCCACATCCTGACAGCTGGGCTCCCACTGCCACCCTGGGACTGACCACACCCCAACACTGCTCACCTTGGGACCGAGACCCCATTTGCGGGGATATGTGTCTCTCTCCATGATCACTCTCTTGATCTTTGCCACAATGCCATGGTCACAAGTAGAAATGACGGCTGTGGTCATCAACGCAATGGCTGCAGAAGCAAGGCAGAGAGGTCATTAACTCTTTAACAGCAGAACTATGACAGCAACGCAGGAACCTGCTATGTTCACCCTGTTCTTCCTCTGTCAGCACAAAGAGGAGCAACAGCCCCCACTAGTGCCATTTCACCCCAAAACATCACTGAAGGTTAAGTTCTGGACTAATACTTCAGAGAGCTGCCCTGCTCAAGGGCAGCAAGTGTGTCAGTCAAGCATTAACCACACTATAAAGCACAGGCCTCTCCGGCTTACACCAGACAACCAGTTCTGGATCAGTGAACACAGTAAGACCAACCATTTCCCAGAGCAGCACCAACTACTGGATGGGGAAAAGCTCTGTGACCAGCTGCTGGAGCAATTCCAGGCAACTCAAGGAACCACGCCACTATAGAAAGGAGCAGTGCTGCTCCTTTATCAGCTCCCAAAACCTTGAGAGCCAAACTAGAGGAAACTAATCTTATCAGTAAATTAGATTTTTCTTGCCAGGTCCCCAAGACTGCCAGAGTGTAACAGGGTGGAACAGGTTGGCTATGTTACACCTCCAAGGCCCCTCAGTCCCACTGGTCTGGACTGAGTACAAGGGTGTACGGCACTGAGCATCGTGACAGACCATCTGTACAGTATGCCAGCACTGCTTTTCTGAAGACCCTGGCTAGAACAAAGCACCTTTTCAAGTTACTTGAGCTGGTAGTTGCTCAAGTCCTTTTTACACTAATCTGCTTAGAAAGTGTGATATGCCAGGTAGCAGTATGTGATCAGACATCATCCCTCATCTCAGTGGGGATGGAGCCCCCACAAGAGGGGCTCCAACCCTGCCAGCACCACATCGTTCCTGCAGGCAGCCAGCCACACACCACAGCAGCCCCCAGTAGGACACTGGGAGACTGGAGGGTCTCTAGAGGCTGCACAGCACCCAGACCCTAGAACAGGAATCGGGGTGCTGCAGGAGGGCAGTACCACTGCACTCAGAGAATGGATAAACTTTGTCATCAGCTCACACACAAAGCACACCTGAGCATCACACAGCTGAAACCAGGCTGAGGAACTCTTCACACTGTGCCAAGGACTGATGCAGCCACTATTTCCTAACATGCTACCCAACACCAGCTGCCTTGGGCCATACTAACCCACAGTCCCAATCAGGAAGAACAACTGAAACCAGCTGTGCACAGGGACGCATTTGTTGTGCATTCACTGGAACACAGTCTATTATTTCTGCAGTTAGCTGGGCACAAGAAGAACAAGTGTTTCATACCTAGGCAGATAGCTTCTCCTTTTGTGGTGATGACAACAATCTCCTGATTAAGCTCAATACCATCTTCGTACCTCAGGACACCAGGCAGCATGATCTTGGCTCCATAGCAAATCGCATTAACCTGAAAATGTAGGGAACAGGAAGGCTTATAAGCTATTAGAGAATAAAAACAATGTAAGTAGTGCCTCTAATATTTTAGCTTCCCATTGCCATTACTGTCCCTGTAATAACATCCCTATGTACCTATTTCTTATTGTCCACTATCTAAAACTTCAGGGCTTTGGAAAAAGCAAACAAAGCAAAGCACCTGTCACACCAAGCAACATGTGAGGGAGATGTCTTATAACCATCAGCATCCTCCTGAAGCGAGGAGAGCAGCTTCTCTGCCACTCAATTCTTGGCACTTGTATCTTACTGCTCATCTGTCAGTGGCCCATACTAGGTCCTACACAGCTCACAATCAGGACACCATATGGATCCCGATTCCTCCAGTCATTATGTTAGCTGTACAAGTTATGAGGACACTCTGCAGTCTCTGGCTGTCAACTGGCACTATCTGAGGAACTTACCGCACTGTCTTTCATGACTAGTCGCTTGTGTGAAGTCAGCAGTTTCTCCAACGGCAGGATAACTCTTCGCAGGTAGCTGTCATCCTTGTTGTTGTCGTACTGCCACTGTGCATCCAGTACATCGTGCATAGTCACCATGTTGTCCTGCAAAGCAACAATGCCTCTAAACTCTCCTACTAGCTTCCAACTTGGAACACACAGAAGAAAACAGCTGAAGTCCAACAGCAAACAGTGTGCTGAAAGAGCGTGAAAAACAGATGCCCGACTCAGAAGCATCAAAAAACCAACCTAAAACAGGCAAGGACACATTCCATCAACAGCTTGAGGTCAGCCTGACTTCTGCTACCATAGCCTTCAACCTTCCTAATCTCAGACAGCACTTGGACCTAGTGTATGAGGTCTGTCCACACGAAACTTTGAAATATGACCAAACTTAAACAAATACCTGGGACCTCTAGACAGAGATTAGCAAGTACAAGTCTAAACTAACCAGCTCTTCAGTGACATGGAATAAATTCTTGAAGCAGCTGTAATTAAGAAATGACTGGCAGTGATTACAGCTGTGGCAAAAGCACAGATAGGTGGGGAAGCACTTACACTTCAATACTGCTTTTCAAGTAAAGAACTTAGTTCTGGAGTTTGAACTGGCAGCAGCATCCAGCTATGACCAGACTGAAAAGACTGTACAAGTGCGCAAGATCCCACAAGACTGCATCTCCCAGGCTCATTTCAATGAAGCACGTTCCCTGCAGTGTGCCCTGACACCAAGCGGTCACAGATTGCTAAGCAGACAGCTCACATGCCTGAACTCATGGCATGCACATGGTTTGTAGGCTGAGAAACACAGGTGGCATAAAACAACCTTTCAGTCACCATGGTGCACTTCCCAGTCACTCACTGTCCCAAAGCTTAATTACCAGAACAGGGGCAACACCCTGAACTGAACTCAACACTTTGGTTACAGACCATCTATAGCAAAAGCTCCCATGTTTTCAGAGCTATTCACAAAGCTCCTCCTGGCCAGCATACACCTATACCTTCTCCTAACACTGTAAAACTAATGCAGTTCCAAGGAACACTTGCAATTCTGACAATTTCAAATTTGCTGTTTACAGTTAGAGGTACCACTCTACCTTCTCTCCCAGGATGCCTGAGCGCACTCTGCGAAGCTCTTGCATCTGGCCCCCCACACCAAGCAGCAAACCAAGGTGAACACAGAGTGTTCGGATATATGTGCCTGCTTCACAGCTCACCCAGAAGATACCTGAAATGCAGGACAGGACAGAAGAGTATTTAAATACCTATCTAGAAATGAACCACATCTAGAAGATCCCTCCAAGACAAGCTGTATGTCCAACCCTTCACAAAGCCATCAGCCTAGGGTGATAGATGAAGGTCATCTTTGCACCGAGTGCTAATGCCACCTAATTGACATCATTTGGCTCTTCAATGAAGGATGCAGCAGTATATAAAACAGATGGGATTTGCTTCTCAGCACAAAGTAATACATGAAGCAGTTACTGCTTTATGGTGCTGAAGATTTAGGTCTTAAGACATCTGCCAAGAATATGAAGCTGCCCATTTCACAGGAAAATTTATCAGCTGTCAGCTTAAGAAGGAGGCAGGAAAGCCCTGTTTTACCTAATCTTCTCTCAGGATCATACTCCACCAACTTGCTCTCATAGATGGTTCTGACTCTTAGTTGTCGTTTGACCGCAGCAATGAGGGGTGGTCGCTGAAACAGCGCGCCTGTCAGAGTTTCTATTGCCTGAGGGTAGAAGCAGAAGAAGTAACAGCTTACACCTATGCCCTAACATAGGAACACCCTGGGGTCTCCAGCAGCTGTGACCACTTCCATGAGTGAGAAACCACAAGGTTCATCATTTGGTGATGTCATGTGCAATAAAGCTGGTCTGAACCAGTGATGTGGTCAAAATGCTACCCCAGCTGCCAGTGAGCACAGCTGGACTTTTTCATCAGGTGGCAGTATGTGATCAGACATCATCCCTCGTCTCAGTGGGGATGGAGCCCCCCAAAAGAGGGGCTCTAACCCTGCCAGCACCACATCACTCCTGCAGGCAGCCACCACACACCCCAGCAGCCCCCAGTAGGACACTGGGAGACCAGAGGGTCTCTGGAGGCTGCACAGCACCCAGACCCTAGAACAGGAATCGGGGTGCTGCAGGAGGGCAGCACCACTGCACTCAGAGAATGGATAAACTTCATCATCACCTCACACACAGAGCACACCTGAGTTCCGCTCCTACCCTCTCATCTCCCACCAGTGCTGAACACTTTGCATGTAAAGTGCCAGCATGGCTAAGCGCATGCTGAGACTTACCCTGGCAAGCTGAGCCTCACTTTCAATTGCATTGTGCAGCCGAACAATTCCCACATACTCTTTGCCTGAAAGAACGACAAGAGCAGTCAGGAGTGGCCACTTGCATTTAATGTTGACCTTGAGGTCCACACCGCTTCACAGCCACACATCCACAGAGCCTTGAAATTTTCACATCCACCTCTCCTAGGAAGTGCACACAGTTTATTATGGAGTTGGTTATTCTTCCAACAAAATAAATGTAAGCTACATTTATTTTTTCACCAAGTTTTATTTCACTGGACTGGTAGAGGCTGAGGCTGTAAGTTCAGTTAGTAGATGAAACCAGTCTGTCAGAAGTGTTTTCACCAACTTGAAACAGCACAAGTCCCAGAGAAGAAGAAAAAAAAAACAAAAAACAAAAAAAAAAAAAAAAACCCCACTTGTGACAGCGTGTATCTCACTCCCTCACTGGCTTGGTGCGAGAAGGATAAGCAACCCTTAAGCTCAAGGCACTAAACACCAAGGGTAGCCCTTTCAAAGACTGGAAATCTCCATTTTGTCTCCAAAATAACTCCACCACCTCCCTAGTCACTTAAGACTGTAAATGGTCCTGGGCAATTAACATACCTGCGCTCTGCTGAGATTTGACCAGTCGTGTTGCCCTCTCAATGCACACAATGAGGCACCCAGTCACCTTAGGATCCAGAGTGCCACTGTGTCCAGTCTTCTCTACTCGAAGGATGCGTCGGATCCATGCAACCACCTCGTGGGAAGATGGATTGGAAGGTTTGTCGAGGTTAATAAAGCCAGACCTATAACACAAGATGACAGAGAGTAGGAGCTAAGCATCAGAGCAAACACGGCAAGAGCACAAATACTTTGGAAATATTTATTCTGGCTGCAAGGAAATGTATTTTTATACAGCCAAATAAGTGATGAGCCTCACAGCTGCTCTCAGTGAGCACACATCAAGATGCTCTGCACAGAGCAGGTGATATATTCCATGGTCAAAGAACTCTGTTTTCCCCAGACTGCTCATCACTACTCTGCACTTAAACCAAACCAAATGCAACAAAGTCCAAGCAGTCTCAACGTCTATCAGGCCACAGGACTTTCTGTAAGACCCCAGAGAATTCCTGAAGTGTTTGCATGCCCATCCACAGAACAAAGCAAACTTTACAGGAAGTGACCAGTGGGTCCTCTTTGGACATTTAGTGGTTAGTAGCAAGGTACTGAGTCAAGCAGAAAGGTACAAAGGGAATCCAGAACAGAAACTGTTTTGAAGATGCTAACTGTGAAAGAAAAATAAAGCACTCTGGCCCTTATTGCACTCACCGAACATAGTCGGAAATCTCTCTCTTCAGGGGATTAGCACCAGAAGAAAGAGGTGTGTAGTGTGCTGTCATCACATTTAACTTGTCGAAGTTCTACAAAATCCAAGCAAAAGTTACAAGTGTTCTTGAGCTCACCTTGGTTTCAGCACTGTTTTGCCCCAATACGTCTCCCCAGTTACATGACACCTGATTTGTGCATCTAAGTTAAAATAGCCTCTTCCAAAATGAAAATGACCCAACAATGAAACCACAATGCTTTACAGAAAGAAACAGAAGTCCTGCAACAAAAGAGATGGGAAGCAGCAGAATCAACACTGACAATGCAAGATAAATCCAGTGTGCCCCAGAAACTCAGGACAAGCAACTCGGAAGTCTACACAGACCACAGGCCACTGTCAGACCAAACAGCTGAAGAAATCTGGCAGGGTCTTTACAGAAGACGATAAGCTTAGAAAGCAGGCATGCAAATGATACTGCTGGACAAACTTTATAACATGATTTCTGCATGCAGAGCGTTTGCCTCTGCTTCGAGTGTCACGCATACTGTTTCTTAGCAGTAGGGTTACACAGAGAAGGAGCTGTGCACCTCCACGGGCCTGCGCCGAGAAACAAAAGCAGGCGCAGGGGTGTGCCACGAGGTGATCTATAACCCACCCTACCTTCAGCAGCAAGGGCCACTGAGACGTGTCCAGCTGGGCGACACGGGACTCGGGCTTGATGAAAAATTCCTCCGTGTGCTGAATGTCCTGAGGGCGGAGAAGTTACCCGAGATCAGAGAAAGGAAAGGAAACCCGCAGGCGCACGCTCCCGCTC